TACACCTAAAAATTAGCCGGTGAAATTTTGTCATGTGGGGTCACTATGGATCACAACAGAATAGCACGCAGTGACTGCTGGGAGATGAGCCCCACAAGCTGACAACACTCACAGTGTACAGTGGCTGCAACAATACACTCACACATGCCAACCATGAAGAGGGCACAGGACCACATAGCATTTATTTCTGTTGTACATGGGGCCTAATGAATTGGAGCCGACTCAACAGCAACTAAGAACAACTCTACTGTGAGCTCTAGCATATATAAGAGGAGCCCTGGTGGTACGGTACAATGGTTAAGCACTTGGCTGATAACGGAAATGTTGGTAGTTCCAATCCACCCAGTGGCTCCCCAGGAGAAAGAGTTGGTGATCTGCTCCCATAAAGATTACTGCCTAGGAAGCCCTATGGGGCAGTTCTACTTGGTCATGTGGGGTCACTGTGAGTTGGAATCCACTTGATGGCACCTAACACCACCATATATAAAGACACACATAGAATAGTGGCATTTTCCCATTTAAACTGCCATGTTTTCATCAGTCATTTAGGAGGCACTTCATTAGGAATGGGAAGACCGTTGAGGGAAGCCAGGATGCTTTCAACCAAACTTTCCATCATATGTTGTCTGGCTTGATGAGTTGCACTCCCAATGTGAGGTGTCAGAATGATGTTCTTTAACTTCAGCAGAGGATGGTCTCTGAAACACAAATTAATTGAAGAAAACTGTTCAGACTTGTTTGGTCTCTTTACCTCATATTCTGGTTTCCCCTCCCCTGGGGAACAGCCCTGCATTGAGATAAGGAAGGCTATGAGAGGCCATAAGGCATACTCAAACATCTAACCTATGTAACTACCACTCATCTAATCCTAGTATGAGGACCCAACAGTTTGGGGGAAAGCATGTATCCTAACTTCCCACAGGCCACACTACACAGTGGCAACAATATGTGTGGTGGATTAAAAAACACATTGGCTCAAAAGACAGAAAAGGGCTTAAAGGGAGATAGATGCTGGTCTAGGTATCACAGGA